AGACATGTATAACATTTTCTTTGTAACAACTTTTACACTTAACTTCAGTTGGTAGTCATGTTCAGAAGAAGCCATTATAAAACATGTATGTTTATATGCTTATCTTCACACATTGAAATGGTACTGTTAACTTCTCAATGTTTAAAACACTTTCCCTAACAAGCTAGGGGGTGTTCACTGATGTCTCTTTACACCTTCTGACTTTTTTCAGTCACAAAGATGAACATCATCACAGGATTTCAGTGTTCTCATTCCAGGCACATTGCACTTTCCTTCTTCCTCAAGCAACAGAGAACAGGGTGAGTCAACAGCACGCGGAAAACGAAGTGTACTATTTTAAGGCTCCATTCCCTGTGGTTTTTCATTTCACAAGAAATTGAGCAAGAAATAAAGTGAGATAAGGAGTGGCAATCGTCTCTTATATTGCAAGGATCCATGGAAGTTCTCCAGGCAGCAAGACTCAGAGGCATGGCCTGTTTGTGGGGTGCTGGTCAGGCTGGTAGCCACACAGAGTCAGTAGAAAGAAGGTTGACCAGTCAGCACAAGTCACCTGTCAGCTTCTGGGTCTGAATTTCCAGAAGCTGGACTCTGGTTCCGATCTGCACGCCCTACCCTGCTGAACTGGGCTTACGTTCCTTGAGGCTCTAAGGTCAGACACGTTATTGAGACCCCACGTGGTGTCAGGTACACTGTTAGGAGGTGAAGGGAAAGTGGTGATTTAGGCCCAGTTCCTGCACTCAAGGAACACGGAGACGACAGGCAAGACTGAGAGGGAAGGGACAACCTGTATCCCTTGACGTTTGCCAGCCCTAAACAATACAAGTGGGTCCTCAAATGAAATTTCCAAGCTCGTCTTTTCCTCTTTCTTAAAGTTCCTTTAGAATTTCCAGTGCTTCTCCAGCCTTCAATGAGTTCCTTAAAACAGTGGCTTGTGGCTTCTACCATTCCTTCCTCCCCCAGCTTCTAAAACCTCAGAGCCAGCATATTAGGTATGTCTGCTTTGGTTTAAATAGAGCATTACCAATCTTCCCCCTAATGTCTCTTGGCTTCTTGCCTTCTTTACCCTATGTACTGCTTGTTCCAACATTCACAAAACGGCTTGTCCCTTTACAAATATCATAGCTTATAATTTCCCAAGTCTTCATTTTCAGAGCAATCAGACGCCTCCGTTTGTTGAAGTCTCTTGGAAAGAGTGATCGTACTCACATTATGTGCTGTGCTGTTCTGGGGTCCCTTGAGGGTTCGGTTCACTTTTATCTATGGGAATGTGGTTCTAAAATCCATTTTATCTGATCTGAAACAAAACTGGGCACCCTCTGCATACTCCCCCAACCACACCCAATTCAGTCTTAGACTAACATGCATCTAAATCAAACTCATTGGGGCAATAGAGCTTTTATAGTGAAATGACTGGTTTGAGACTCAGGGGAACTCAAAGAGACTGTAAGCATTACCCCCACTTTCCCCAGACCTGGCTGAAGCTAAACTGTGAAGTAGATGGTTTATGAGTCCTTGTTCTGTACTTTCTCTCCATGAGACCCCTGACCTAACTGTTTAGTGTAGCTGCTAAGATCTTGGCTCTGGAGCTATCAAGACCAGAGTTTAAATTCTGCCTCCGCCACTCGTAAACTGAGAGATCTTGAGTGAGTTATTTATTTAGCATGCATTTTCTTCATCTGTAATACAAGGGGGATAGGACTAGAATCTACTGCCAAGAGTTGTTGTGAGGAATGAGTGAGAAATGCAAGCAGAGTAGAAGAACAGAACCTGCTATGCATAAGTGCTCAATAAGTGGTGGTGACCATCCCTTCCTCCCCGGGGAGCCCCCCATCAGGCTTTTCTTCCCTAAGCAGGGACCACACTTAGAGCCTCTTCATCTTTCCTGGGTCTCATCAACATTTCATTTCCTCAACTTCCAGGTCAAGTTACTAGCAGGGAGAACGGAGCTAACAAAAACCAAAGGTGTGAATAGCAAAAAGCTGGACTCTAAGATGTCAAACCAAAGATATTTTAGGCTACAAATCATGCTTTTAACTAAAGGATTAAATTCTCTCAGTGGAAATTCAAGCAATGAGGCAATGACAGTATGGGAATTCACAGCTCTCCTCTGCAGATACCAGCTGTTGACTGAGGGAAACTTGCTGAATTGGGGTCTCCTCTTTGGGAATGTGTCCTTTGTAGGGTTGTGGTGAGGATTCATGCAGATAAGAAAGCTTGACAACTAAAAGGTTCTTGTGAATGTTCTTCTTTTTTAACCCCTGAACCTATGGCATAAATGATAGCCTTGCTGCAGTATTGGCGAGCAGAGTACAGATGCAATCAATTTACTTTGAATTGCATCAAAAATAAGATGAATTGATAGATAAATAAAATCATTAATAGATCAATATATCTTGATAAGACAAGTATAATAAAATGTTAACAGTAGAATCCAGATGGTAAACATACAGGTGTTCACCATAAAATTCTTTCAACTTTGCCAAATATTTGAAAATATTCATAGTAAAAAAACTTTTTAAAATGAGAACAAAATGGGACAATTTCACACAAAAACAGAGTTTTGCAATATTTCTCTAAAAGAATGTCTAAAGGAGACAATTCAGAAAGAAAGAAAGTAACACAAGGAAAAATGATAACTGAAATACAGAAAAAATAGTCTATAATTTGGGAGGAGAATGATTAGAGTTAATGAGTTTTTGTTTTTTATTGTTCAGAGGGAGTTAAGCTGTTAACCTTAGACTTTGTTAATACTTTCTATCTCCCAGAGTTGCTGTGGGGATTAAATAAGTTGATACGTTTAAAATATTCAGAATACAGTCTGTCACATAGTGTCTGTTTACCATATATATTAATTTACTTATATGTTTTACTACAATTATTATTGTTTTCATTGTGTAAACACTAAAAGAAAGAAAATAAAGTGCCTGACTTTTCAGCCTTGCAGAGGGAGAAAAGGGGAGTAGGAAAGACAAGACACAAAAAAAATCTCAATTCTAAAGTGGTAAAAATAGTTTTTTAAAAAAGAAGCATAGCAAAAGTGGAACAAGCAGAAAACACAAAGAAGGGAGGTAGAGACTACCTCTGAATATATATCAGTCATCACAATGAATGTAAAGGGATTAAATTCTCCTGTTAAAAAACAGAGATAAGAAGATAGGATTACAGCTGCAGTCCCCAAATCAAGTTGACTATTTGGTATTAATAAATACACAATTAAAACTTAAAGACATGGAAAGTTGGAAAAACAAAATGGAAAACTATATACCACGCAAATGTAAACAAAACAAAACAAAAAACCTGACAGCTACATTAGCATCTGACACATAGACTTTAAGACAAAGCAATTATTAGTGATAGAAAGGATCACTACATAAAAAAGATTAAATTCATTAGAAATATACAGCTCTAAATTGTAAGCGTTTGATAAAATAGTCTAAAAATGTGGTAGATTCACAGAGGGAAACAAACAAATTCATCATCATAGTGTGAGAATTTAACGGACTTCTTTCAATTATTACTAGGTAAAACAAACTAAAATATATATTTAAATATAGAAAAAAATTGAACAAAATAATTGACTTGCTAGATTTAATGGACACTTATAGAATCAGAAATTAGAGAATACATATTCATCTCTACATTCTACAAGTGGGACATTTACAAAAATTAGACCTGATGCTAAGCCATAAACAGATCTTAATAAATTCAAAGAACTGGAGTCATACACAGTGTATTCTTTGACTACTATGCAAGTAAGTTGAAATTAATAACAAAAATATAAATTTAAAAACCTATACATTTGAAAATTTAAGAAGTATACTTCTGAATAATGTGTAAAAGAAGAAATCACATTGAATTTTTTTTTTAAAGATTTTATTTTTTCCTTTTTCTCCCCAAAGCCCCCCAGTACATAGTTGTGTATTCTTCGTTGTGGGTTCTTCTAGTTGTGGCATGTGGGACGCCGCCTCAGCGTGGTCTGATGAGCAGTGCCATGTCCGCGCCCAGGATTCGAACTAACGAAACACTGGGCCGCCTGCAGCGGAGCGCGCGAACTTAACCACTCGGCCACGGGGCCAGCCCCAAATCACATTGAATTTAGTGGAAATTTAAAATACTTATGACTGAATGATGACAAAAATAATATATATTAAAACTCATGGGATACTGGCAAAGCAATATTTTGAGATACAATTATGCTTTAAAAGTTTTTATTAGAAAAAAAGAAAGGCAGAAACTTGAGGAGCTGAATATCCAACTTAAGAAGTAAGAAAAATAACTCCAGAAAATTTTTTAAATGCAGAAAGAAGGAATGAGCAAAAATAAAGGAAGTAGGAAGTAAAGACATAATAGAATCAGCAACATCAAAAGCAATTTCTTAAAAAGATTAATAAAATAGACAAACCTTTGCTGAGATTGATCAGTAAAAATATAGATGTCACAAATAAAAAATATTAAGAATGAAAAGGTGACATAAATACAGGTACAACAGAGATATTTCAAAAAGAAATAATACTGTGAAAATATGTATAAAATGAACAAATTCTAGGAAAGGATAACTTATCAAAATAAACTCAGGAAGAAATAGAAAAGGATAACTTATCAACTGTGCTCAAGATGAATTACAAAGCTCTGATAATTCTACCATTAAAGAATTTGAATGAAGATTGTAACTTTTCCTCAGAGGCCCAGAGGGTTTTACAGGTGAGTTTTAAACAAACTTATAAATAATTGTTCATCCAATCTTATATAAACCATTCATAGAGTGCACAAAAGAGGAAACACTCCTCAATGTATTGTAAGAGGCCACCATAACCTTAAGACCAAAGCCAGACAAGGACTTTATAAAGGAAAGTTTTAAGACAATCTCACTCATTAACATGAATGCAAAAATCTTAAATAAAACACTAGCAAACCAAATATAGTATTGTAATGAAAGAGAAAATACACCAAGATCAAATTGAGTTTATCTCAATAATGCATGGATGGTTTATAAATTTTTAAAAAATCTATCTATAGATGTGACACAGTACCTTTTGCCTCTTAGTAGATGGATACACAGCATTTGATAAAAGTAAAAAAAAAAACGTTTGTAGTAAAATAGGAATGGGAGGGAACTTCCTTAATGATTGATGTATGGTGTCTACCAAAATGATAGCCAATATCATTCTCAATGGTGAATGCTAGAGGTATTAATTTTAAATTCAGGAACAAGGAAGATACCACGATCACTGTTTCTATGATAGTAGAAGTCCTAGTGAGCACAGTAAGAAAACAAAAAAGTACTGAGGATAGGAAGGAAAAAAACAGAACTATCATTACTGTTAGGTGATATAGTTCAGTCAAAAACCTCAAAAAATTATAGAAAATTCATTAAAATTAAGAGCGTTTTTGCAAGCTGACTGGATTTAGGATCAATATAAAAAATCAATTGCATTTCTTTATGTCAGCAGCAATTTATAAAATATAATAAAAATAAACCAGCTACTATTTGCAGTGGTACACACATGCCCCAAAAATGAGATAGAAATATATCTAACAAAAGATGTGCAAGACCTGCATGAAGAAACATTTTAAGTGCTACTAAAAGACATCAAAGATCTAAATAAAAGGAGAGAGAACATGTCGTTGGTTTAAAAGGCTATCCAGTAAAGTCAATTGCCTTAAATTCCCAACCAGTTTTTCATGGAACACAACAGTGTTTCTCTACCACTTAAATGGAAGACAAAGGCTCCAGAATAGTCATAAAGGGGAAAAATAAGGTTAAAAAAAACTTGTCCAAACAGGTGTCTATATTTCTTTTAAATTTAGGGTAACTAAAACACTGTGGTATTGGCTCAGTGAAGACGTACTGACCCTTGGAACAGAACAGAGAACCCAAAGTAGTTCCACATCTTTTTTGAACTTGCAATATGATAGAGGTGTCAGTGTAGATTACTAGAAAAGGCAGAACTATTCCATAAATGCTGTTGGGGCCATTCGTTATCTATACGAGAAAAAATGAAATTAGATCCCAACCTCACACCATACACAAACATCAATTCCAGATGGATTTAAAGACTTCATTATGAAAGGCAAAAGATTCAAACCTTAAGAAGAAAATACTGGGGAAAATCTTTAAGACTTTGGAGGTAGAGAAGTTTTATTTAAACAAAGTACACTAAGCATTAACTATAAAAGAAAAGATTGACATAATCAACTGCATTGAGATGAAGGATTTCTGTATATCAAAATACAGCAAAAGGAAAATGAACATGCCCCAATTTGGAAGATATTTTTAGCACATATAAGCAGCAAATTATTATTACTCGTTATATATTAAAAATTCCTTCAAGGGGACAAGAAAAAGACAAATAATGTGATCAAAAAAGAGAGATAGGCTGTGATGGGTATTTCATGGAAGAAGAAATATGAATGGTAAATAAGCATATAAAATATGGTCAATATCTTTTATAATTAGAGAAATGTAAACTAAAAACATATGAGATATACTTTGACTCAACTGTATTAACAAAAATCAATACATCTGAACATATGAAGAGCGTGGGAAGGTTTAAATACTGTATAGTTAAAAGTGTAAATTGCTACAGTTACATTGAGGAATAATTTGGCATTATCTTGTAAAGTTGAGGACATAACAAACATACTCTCGAACCCAGCAATTCCACTCCTAGGGGTGTGCGTGTACCCTAGGGAAAATTTGTGTATGTGCACTGGAAAACAGGTACAACCACATCCTTAACAGTGTTATTCTTAAAAGCGAAAAACTGGAAACAGGCCAAATGTTCATTGTCAGGACTAGATGAATAAATGTGTTACCTACACACACAAGGGAATATGAAGTACCAAGGACTATGAACAAACTTTAGCAACATGCAACAAACTAGATCAATCTTGGAAAAAATTCTGAGTGCAAAAAGCAAGATGAAGAAGGTTGCGTATTCACTGTGGTACCACTTTTATAAAGCTTAAAAACAAGCAAAACTAAACAACGTATTGCATAAAGATATGTACATAAACCATTTTAACAAGCTGCAATGATAAACACAAGTTTAAGGTTTTGCTTATTACAGGCCAACCCATCAAGGAAACATCTAGGTCATTTCAAAAGTGCTGGTCTGGTTCTTGAGTTGAGTGATGGTTCTCAGATGTTCCTTTTATAATTTTGTTTTACAACCAACATAGAGATTAGAGACATTATTTCGTATTAATGAAGTATTTCATGAAACATTTCAGGCACAAACCAAATCATCCAGTGACTTGTTGGTTGTATCACAAGTTTTAGAGTTCATTTTTCTACTCTTATTTATCTTAATTTTTCCATTTTTATTTCCTCTGGGACTTCTCACACTTTGGACAATCACCAGCCAGATCATGAGCCAGGCCATTGTGACTTCATGAACTCTTTTGCCTGAAAAACAACCTCTCCTTCTCTTTCTTCAGCACCACTTGACCCTGCCCAGCTCCCTACAAATCAGAGACCCAAAGCTCCAGTTGACTGTTTGGAGAAACATTCTCCGAGCAGATCTCTTGCTAGTTGCTCATGTTAACACCCACAGCATCACCTCTCAGATCTCGGAAGGATGACTGACTCTCACAAGGCTTATGGCTTGGAGCTGTCCTCAGAGCCATTTTTAGGAGTGTGGGCTTCTCATGGTTTGTCTGAACCCAAAGCCTTGGCCAGGCAGGTATGTAGGGCCTGCCTGTCCCTTTGCCTCTGCCCCTTGTCAGCTTTGTGGACTCCTTGATTTTCTCTCTGCCTCCATTTTTTTTTCTTTAAATGAGTTGTGACCATATTAGCTGACTGTGGAGCCATCGAGATTCATCCTTAATAAAACCCACTGGAAACATAAACCAGAAATGTCCACAGATGCATGTGGGGATGGACAGTGGAAGATTTCACGGCTGGATCCCCCGCCCTACCCCCATTGCTGGTTAAGAGTAGTTGGCATCTGCCACTGAGAGAGCTGGAGCCATGATTCATCATAGTCACTTGCAAAACTAGGATCGTCATTTTTCCCAGCTGCTGGCGAGGGCAGAAGTTAATACACTTTTCAAACAAAGTGAGTGGGACCCAGAAGTCCTTCAAAGGCTGCTGTTGTACATGTGCACAGGCCAATTTTCAGCTGTGAATAACTCAGCAATTGGCAAATGCTGAAACTCATGACTGAGTTCGTGGGAACAACTAATTATGAACATCATTTAACTAAAATCACCCTCTGTGTCCAAAGAACCATCAAAAAATCTTGAACTGGGAAAGTTGAGTTCAATGCATTGAGGAGACACTTGGGGTCGACAATACAGATGGAGCAAGGGGACCTGACAAGGGGCCCATGGCCAAGTCCAGGCCAGGGATGGGGGATGGAGCAGGGTAGCTGTGGGCATGGTAGTGCCCTCGCCAGGGCTGAGGCTGGGTCTTCCTCTTTCAGCTTTTCATGCTAATGTCTGGGTCCATCTTGGTTCTGCTTGTGGGTTTTGTGTATCAAGCGACATGGTTGGGTGCATGGGCTGTGGTCAACCAGGCACATCTCTCTGGTTCCCTCCAAGGGCTGACTTTGGAAAAAGTACTTAGTCTTTCTGTGCTTCCAGTTCCTCATCTGTAAAATGAGGATAATAATAGTGCCGGCCTCCCTGGGAGTTCTGAGGATTCATTGTTTTTCTTCATGAGAAAACAGTCAGTACAGGGCCTGGCACACACTGGGGACTTAATATTGGTCAGCTGATGTCTGTAGTTGCTGGACCAGGAAGCAGTTCTATGGGGATGCCCCCTAGGCCACCCCACTCAGTGCTGCTGGGAGCCAGTTCTGGTTCTGTCTTGGTTCTGTGTCTCTAGGTACCAAGCTCATCTCAACAAAGCAGGGGGCACTCGAACAGGCACACGGACCAGGGAAGGTTGATGGCCAGCTATAAGTCTTATTATTGTAGTAGATAGATGATCGTAAACAGCAGCTCATGAGATTATTTTATTTTACAACAGCTGCTTTGACAGTTTGTCTCTATAACTTAAAAACATTAAATAACTTCCTCCATGAAACTTATGAAAAAACTGTCTTCAAAGAATTAGTTATTACAAGGACTTAAAAAAAATCCAAACATTATTTGGTGAAATATGGATTTTTAAAAATGCTTTCACCAAGACTGGGCACATTTTTAGAGAACCATATCAGTGCATAGCCTCTGCGAGGTTAGGTAGTGTTCTGAGGTCCACACAGCATGGAGACCGACCTGGAGTTTAAACCACATGCTCTACTTCATTATGCACTCTCCAGTCCTGTACTCTTTGGGCTGTCCCAGTGGACCTTGCTGACTACTAATTCTGAGCTCTTTACCTCTCCCCAGATCTCTTCTGCTGGATATTTCACAGTTTTGTCTTAATCAGGAATTCAAGGATGGGTTGATTGCATAAACTCTCAATAATTTCCATTTCAATCTCAAAAACAGCATGCAAGCAGGGCATGCAGGGTTCCAGGTTGTTTTTAGTTGGGCTTGGGTTGATGAGCTTCAGTGCCTGTCTTTGTGATGTCTCAGCCCTGTCAGATCAAAAACTGTGTTCTTTATTCTAAGTTTAACTCTCTTGATCTGTGCAGGAGAGGTTAATGAAGGATTGCCCTTGGTCGTAAGCAGTGAGCAACTTCTCCAGCCATTGATGGGGGGGAAAGAATTCTTTAACCAGGAAAAGCACAACCCCAGGTACACATCTGCATGAATTAATTCCAATGAAATTCAAAAGAGCAACAATTCTACAAAATGCTAGAGACGTACTTTTGAACATATATTCATTCTCCTTCCTTGTAAACACTGGTATTTCTAAGCTGGAATTTCTTCTCACAGGCTCAACTGTCACTTAGTGCATTGACAGGTCTCACTAAGAAGCTTCAAGGAACAGGTGGGGACAGGTGGGTAACATGTGCTAAAGTTCACTGGCCAGAAGGCGCCATCAACAAAACTTCTCCAATGACCTTGCACCAATGACTGATGCAGTCTTCTCTCCCAATTAGCTCCTTGGTCTACAGAGGTTGAGCAGTCCCTGGATTTCTTCTCCAAATGGTGATGGTGGTAGAATCCAGCTGGCGTTTGTCACTGTCAGGTGGCTAAAGGGACAGAGAGGGAATCAGGAAATCGGACTCTGAGAAGAACCACAGAGCTCTAGCTTCCCTCTTCTCTGTCTGACACATGTAGTCACAGTCCAAATACTGTGCCGTAAATCTCCTCACCATCCCCATTCCTCGTGTGTGCACATACGTTTCTACAGTATCACTGTCGATATCACTCATTTGAGCCCTTCCTCTCCATCTTGCATGGCTATCTGATCTCTCATGGCTATGTATTCATCTTGTCTCCTTCTATGGCTATTTGATCTCTCATGGTTGTATACCTATTTTGTCTCCTTGGATGGCTATTTGATCTCTCATGATGTATATCCATCTCATCTCCTTGTGTGGCTGTCTGATGTCTCATGACTGTATGGCCATCTTGTCTTCTCATATGACTATTCCATCTCTCGTGGATGTACATTCATCTTGTCTCCTTGCATAGCTATCTAATCTCTTGTGACCGTATATCCATTTTGTCTGCCCAAGAGAACTGTAAGCAGTAGAGGGTGGTTAAGAGCAGGTCTTTGGAGTTAGACAGACATAGGTTAGAAGGTCAGCTTAGTCACTGCATTTATCAGGATAAGTTAGGGTATGCTGTTGTAACAAACAAACCCTAACATTTTAGTGGACAAACACAACAAAGGTTTATCTCTCATGATGCAAGCTGGGAGGCCCTCCTTTTTGTAGTCTACATCCTGCAGACCTCCTTCTCCTCCTAAGGCCTCCTCCTGAGGTCCCTGTAGCAGTGGAAGAGGGAATGAAGGAGGCACATCAACCTTTAACTGTCTCCACTCAAAAGTGACACACATCACTTCTACACATGATCCATTCACCAGAACTAGTCACATGGCCCTAATCTTACTGCAAAAGAGGCTAGGAAATGCAGAGATGCATGCATATTTGGAGAGCCCTAATTGCCTGCTACAGTCACTTACCAGCTGTGTGACTATGGATATTCAACTTCTCTGAACCTCAGACCTCTTAATTTACAATTAAGGTACAAAGTAAGATGCCTCATAGGTGTGCCATAGGATCAGATAAAGTGATATTATGTCAAGTTCCCAGCCTACTGTCTGGCTTAGAGTAAGTGCTTAGTATATTCAGTCCATGTAGCTGTAAAGGTTACGATGATCTAAGGATAAGGCTCATATTTTCCACTTCTTCATTATTAATCCTCCCCCACCATATTATCCAGCAGGATAGAAAGAAATCAAAATTAAATTTGTCATTGTTTAATTTGGGAGGATTAGGGAAGACACACACACACACACACAGGTCTAAAAATAGATATATGTATTGTAAACTTTTTACTTACTCATTCATCCATTCATCATAAACGTTTTTTGAATATGTGCAGTAAATTATACCCTCTTTTAGGTGCTGGGAGTACAGAAATGAATGTCATATTCTGTCATCTCAAGGAGTGTATGGACTAGTGGAGGAGAAAGAGAGTAATTACGTGACACAGTGCAAATAATAAATAATATGATACACAGTAAAAGTCCACTAAAAAAGGTACCAGCAAAATGTGGTGGAACCCTAGATGAAGGAGATATAAGTAAATCTCCAAAAGTCAGGGAAGCTTTCATAGAAGAGAAAACTACGTCTTAAAGGACAATAGAAATTCACCTAAAGAAGAAGGTAGGAATGATGTTCCAGGCACATCCCAGTCACTACAAGTGGTTAATTTTGTATTGACGTTGAATAACCACGGCTAGAAGATCACACCTGTATCTGGCTGGCTTAAGTTGCTGAAAATAGAACACTCCCTAGTTAATTTACACAGGAAAGAACTTACTGCAGATCTATAATTGGCTTAGAGAATCACTGGGAGTGCTGAAGAAACAGATTCTATGTGGAGTTTGCAGGAATGTGTCCCAAAGGCACATTGCATCGCTGACCCACCGAGGGAGTGGTTGATTTTTCAGTGATTAGGAAGCCACTGGCTCCAGAACCACACTCCCAAAATAAAGGGCCACCATGACGAGGAAGCAGCCACAATCAGAAAAGCTGATGTGTCTCCTGGCTCCAGTACTTGCTATGATCCGCAGGGATGACCTATTCTTTGTCGGTTGACACCCAAGATAATTACTAGACAATGAGACCTCTACTAACACTGGTGCAAAAAATCCCAAAGCACATCTTTGAGCTTGCCAGCAGAGGCAGCAGATGCGCAGCTTCGGCCTCACTTCTGCCTCCCAAATTTCACTCGAGAACATCTGATTGTTCTAATCCTTGGTCACCTAGTGGATCCTAGATGCAAGAGAGTCTGAGAGTTGTGGATTGCAGATCATCAGACTATGGAGCACAGAAAAGTGTTCTGAAGCAGGACAGAATGGAGAAAAAATTGAAAGTTAAAAGAAGAAAACACTTGTGTATACTTAACAAATAGCTTATGTGTATATTTGACCCTGTTGTTTTTATGAAATGTCCCTCTTCGTCTTTGATAATACTCCTTGTTTTAAAGTCTACTTTGTCTGATATTAATATAGTCATACTAGTTTTTGTATGTTTACCATTTGCTTGGTCTATCTTTCCATCCTCTTACTTTTGACCTATTCGTGCCTTTATATTTGAAATGTGTCTCTTGCAGAAGATGGTTGGGTTTTCTTTATCATATGCCTTTTAATTAGACAATCTCTGCCTTTTAACTGGAGCACCTAGTCCTTTTATACTCAGTGTAATCATGGATATGGTTGGGTTTAAGTTACATATTTTACTTCACCTATGTCGTGAACCCCATCTTACAATGCTAGTATTTTTACTTTAACAATTATTTGTCTGTTACAGAACTTAAGAAAAAACCTGTCTTTTGTATTTACCCATGTATTTAACTTTCTTGTGTTTTTCAATCATTCCTATAGGTCTGAGTTTCTGTGTGGCATCATTTCCCTTCATACTGAATAACTTCTTTTAATATTTCCTGTAATGAAGGTCTGCTGGCAATGAATTTTCCCAGCTTTCATTTATCTGAAAATATCTTCTTTTTTTAAATCTCAGCTTTAAAGCTTTCATCACATTGTCTTCTGGCCTCCATTGTTTCTGATGACGTCAGCCATCATTTGAATTATTGTTCCTCTGAAGGTAATAGATCATATTTTCCCACTCCATGTTTATTTTCCTCCTCATTTTAAGATTTTCTCTTTATCTTTCATTTTCAGAGTTTTGACTATGATCTGCCTTGGCTTGGTTTTCTGGAATCATTGGCTCTGTAAGTTGGTGTATTTTCACCAAATCTGGGGAAACGTTGACCATACTTTCTTCAAATATCTTTTCCTGCTCTCATTCTTACTCTCCTCTTTTTCTGGGACTTTATTATGTTCATGGTAGACCACTTGCTATCCCATAGGTCACTGAGGCTCTGTTAGTTTTGGTTTGATCTTATTTCTCTCTGTTCTTCAGATTGGATAATTTGTATGGATCTATCTTTTAGTTCACTGACCTTTTCTTCTGTCATATCTAATCTGATCATCAAATTAATTTTTTATTTTAGATTTTGTGTTTTTTATTTCTGGAATTTCTACTTGTTCCTTTTTTGCAGCTTCCATCTCTCTCCTGAGATCCTTATCTGCTTGCTTCAAGACTTTGAATATATTTGTAATACCTGTTTTAAAGTTCTTGTATACTAATTCTAACGTCTGGATCATTTCAGGGTCTGTTTCTGCTCACTATTTTTATTCTTGATTATGAGTCAAAATTTTCTGCTTTTCATGTGTCTAAAAATTTTTGTTAAGATGCTGGACATTTGAGGCAATGCAGCATAAAGGACCTTTAATTTTGGAAGTTGTGCTTACACCTAAGGAGTGAAATTTCTGGTGCCCCAGCTGAATATCTGGGATGTTAATGAAGTCTCTTCATTCTGTTTGGGCTAGAACCCACTGTCTTCCAGAACTGTGCATTTTAGGCATCTTTGTTTCTGTTTCAACCCTGTAGTAGTTCTCTCTGCTAGGCCCCTTGGAGCAACGTGCAGGCACCTTTTGACCAAGAACCCACAGAGAAGCATCACACAGACGTCTGCCCCCTCCCACTTTCACCTTCTCGCTGCAAATACAACTCTCTTTTCTCTAGTATCCTGAGCCATGAACCCCAAATTATGCTTTCTCAGCTCAGCAGGACTGCCCTACTCTGTTTGAGTCCTACCTTCTGATGCTAAAGTCAAGAAATTGTCCCCAACCAGACAGCCAGGGTGAGTCTAGGCCCCACGACGTGTACTTCCCTTCTCTCAGGGATCCCAGACCTGCAGTGCCTACTGTTCAGTGCCTGAGAACAATATCCTCATATATTTGTCCAACTTTATAATTGTTTATCATGTAAGGGTAAGTCTGGCACCAGTTACTCCAATCTGGCCAGAAATAGTTCCTCTCTGTACATACTTGAAATGCATATAATAAAGAGAAAAATCAAGAAGTAATCACCTTAAGGCAACTCTACTGATTTTAAGCCAATTTGAATTGAAACACTTTGTAAGTAAATCCAGAGGATATGTAAACGTTATAATTTGAAAAGTTACCTAAATATAAGATGTATCTATTATGGTTTTTGCACTTGGGTGTGGCAGGCATGAAAATTCTTGTGTTGCTAACTGCCCTGGTGATTTTAGCATGAGTTGAAGGACCTTATTTTCCCACTGAGTTTCCAAGATGAGGTGCATTTTTCCTTTCATCCTGACACTAGATCATAGGTTGGCCAGACCTGAGAATCTTGGACTATCAGAAAATGAACGACTTTAAGAGAAATGATTTAAATAGAATGAGAGTTTAAGGTGCAGATATAGAATGAGGTTGCTGTTACATTTCAGATACTAAAGGAAGTGTGACTCAAAGAGGAGACAGTGGTTAATTTTAGCTGCTTGAACTGTATGGGGCGAGAGTGTGATGGACATCCCAGAATAATATACAACCATCGTCCAACCTCTGTGAGTCACACGTGAGCCCTCCAGCAAGCTCTTTATTGAATGTTCTCTTTGCTTCTGTGGTCAAACCTGGGCTTTCCAGGGACAGGCTAATGGGCCAGCCACATTTTGAGCTGAAACCTAATAAAGGCAAAGAAATTTTAAATGAGTTCACGTTTAAAGGACTCATAAAAAAGATGTGCTTATGCCGCCAAGTACATTTAAGAAAGTCTGCATCCTCAACATAAATGAAAGGAAATGTCAGCTCTCTGACGTTAATTCAACTGCAGGTAATTTTTCAGTGTCCAGTTTAAATTATTGTTTCCTATTAAAATCAGCTAAGACTTTTGGTCCAGGCAGGATGTGTTAGAGTACCTGACCCTGAGGAGTACGTGGTAAGCAGGCAAAGGCAGACCCTACTGGGCTGTGGAGACTTATTAGGGTTAGCCTGAGGCCAGGGCTGAGGCGGGAGAGTGTGCGACTGACAAAGATCACAAGAGGCTCTGTGGTGGTGGCGGTTAAGGCTCAGGCTTTGGAATCAGACTCACCTAGATTATATTCCTGACTCTGACTTTGGGTCAGTTAACTTGTCCTCTCTGAAAGTGGCTTCCTCATCTACAGAAAGTTGATCACAATTGCATCAACTTCTCAGAATCCATGTGATGCTTCAACGAGATTATATTTGTAAGATCCTGAGCACAGATCCTGAAGATCACAACGCTCAGTAAATGGTAGAGGTTATTATGAAACACGCATGTTCCATGACTTCTCTGTAAGTCTGCACATTACTGACAAAATAAAGCCAAGCTTTGTGGTTCCTGCAGTGTTAAGACACTAACAGATCATAGGGTAGGTAAAAACAAGTGTTCTTTCTCTCTCTCTCCCCACCCACATCCCCCCGGCCACCAGAAGATCCTTTCTCTCTGCAGAGCCTGGGCAGCCTCACCTTCATCCATTGATTGGTTAGGATCTGTCAGTGTCATTTCAAAATGCTTGCGTTGTGATGTTAACCACACATTTGCACACACTATTCAGGATAAGGGCCAAGCACAGTTGATTCATTTTGGAATTTGTATTGGGTGGGCAAAGCTTTGTTAGGTTTGGAGAAGGGGTCATACCTTCTAGTGGGCAGCCCTAGGAAGGCAGGAGCTGTCAGGGATAAGGGGAGCACCCCGGTTAGCTGTTTCAGCAGACAAATGCTCACAGGATGCTATCTGAAAGTGGGATGCTGGGCAAGGTTGATTTTGTTTTTTTTTAAAGATTGGCCCTGTGTTAACATCTGTTGCCAATCTTTTTTTTCCCTTCTTCTCCCCAAAGCTCCCCAGTACATAGTTGTATATTCTAGTTGTAGATCCTTCTAGTTCTGCTATGTGGGACACTGCCTCAGCATGGCCTGATGAGCAGTGCTAGGTCCATGCCCAGGATCTGAACCGGTGAAACCCTGGGCCACCAAAGCAGAGTGTGGGAACTTAGCCACTCGGCCATGGGGCTGGCCCCAGAAAGGTTGATTTTAATGCTTGGAATTTGTTTGCATGAGTAAACATGAAATCCAGGGACACTGACTTTTATTATCTATTGATTAAATGTCTGCTTAATCAATTAATTTAGTTCATGTAAAATGGACTAAAGTAGTTGTCTCCACCGGCTGGCTGGGCAGGGCTGTGAAGAATGGGGAGAGACTTCAAGGGGGCTTGATTCAAAGGTCATTAAAGGTGACCCAAAGGAAGTGAGATGGGTCAGAATCATTTTCATCTGTGATTGAGTTTTCCCAGGGGGTCTGTAGTGAACAAGTGTGAGGGGGGTGTTGTCCTGGGGATGTTTCTTCTATGCTCCCTCCTTCCTTTCAGGACATTCCCTGCTCCTCTTTCATTCTCCCTCCCTCCAGGTGATCAATAGTCTCATTTCCTGGAACACTCTGGTTTGGGGGTTTCCCTGCCATGGCTCCCATATTGTGTCACCCTGCTCCGTCCTCCATATCATGGACTACCCTATCTTACTCCCCTTATCAGAATTCTGTCTGTCCTTTTGCTCTTTCTAAGCATTTTGCCAAATATCTAACCAGCTAATCTGGGATAAACGAGGTATAAGTGGTGTGGTGACTGACCTGCCCTGCCCCCCTGAGACACACTTTGAGGGAGGACACTTAGAGAAGCTTTGCTCCAACGTAATGACTATCTTCGCTCAGATGAGTACAGAGGAATTTTGAGTGGGAGCATGGGAGGTGGTGGGAACTTTCCTTCAAATCACACTGCATATTCAGCCCCCTATGGGGGATGATGGGGGAGCACAGTCTCTGGAGATTGGTTCACACAGCCAAGTAGGCCTCATGGTTTGGGGCCCTGGAATTTATTTATTTATTCATTTGGTGAGGAAGATTGGCCCTGAGCTAACATCTGTGCTCATCTTCCTCTAATTTTTTGTATATGGGATGTCACCACAGCACAGCCTGATGAGCGGTGCTAGGTCCCCACCAGGGATCTGAACCTGCGAACCCCAGGCCCCTGAAGCAGAGTGCGTGAACTTAGCCAGTATGCCACCATAGGCCCTGGAATTTAGAACCAGCCCTCCTCACCATGTGATCCCCATGGGGACTGCATCCATGAGCTCTGAGGCATGAGCCAGGAAGAGTCCACTCAGGGTCCAAGAGAGTCCACTCGGGGTCCAGGAGAGTCCACTCAGGGTTCAGCAAAGCCAGAGAGGGGAAGTCCCAGGAGAGATGCCGTTCCCTCCTCCGTCTCCCGCTGGCCTCAGCACCATGCTGGCCATGGCTCCCTGCCGCGTGGCTGCTGGAGTAGGACAGCACTGATGTACCCGAGTGTGACATCACTGTGGAAGTCGTGGAGTCGACAACAGAAAGCTGCTAAACTGATTCCCCCTGCAGCTGCCTGGACTCCTCTGTTAGTCATTCCCACCCAGTGTTGGAGGAATTGCACATTCACCCATCACCTGGGGGACAGGCAGAGTGGGCCTCTCCCCTGCTCCCCACCCTTCTGAATCTCAGCAGGTGTGTCAGAGCAGTGACATGGTTCTCAAAGGTGCTGTCCCATGGTCTCCAGCCCAGAGCATTCAGAGCTCCATCAGGGGGACACAAAGAGTGGGAGGGGCTGAATGCGGTCACGCGCTGGCTGTCCAGGCCTGGAAGAACAAGGTTCCTCCTTCTCACTGGCCTCTGGAAAAAAAATCAGTGGAATATTGAGGTGCCACATAAACCCAGCAGGGTTTTATTTCCAAATTTGGTGTTTCTATGAAAAAACAACACTGTGGTTACTCCTCAGTGGAATTGCCATTGAAGTTGGGTAAGTTCTGAGCGCTCTTACTCATCTGTTCCTTTGAGTGTCCTCTTATTTCCTCAGGTTGGGTCCTCAGATCATCAGGTCATGAGCTCTCTTGACCCTGCCCCGTTCTTCCTGTGGGTGGAAGGATACATTTTGTCACGTCGTGATGTTATGATGCCCTTTGACTTTACTGTCTAAAACTACTCTCGAGTTGCCAAGAATCTGTAAAGACACTGAATGTCCACCATCTCCTCGCTCTGCTTGGGGTCCTTTTACCCATCACCACTTCACATCGTGAGTCTTGCCTGCAAGATGAGAAAATTTTAAAATATGGTATAGTGTCGTGATACAAAATTACGCCCTTCGTATTTTCGAAACTAGAAAGAAGGCCATTTCAAGATGACTTTTTATACTTCCCCATTCACCTGGAGATCTGGTGAAAGGTGAACTTGGAGCAGTGAAAATACCTGGTAAATCAAAATTCATTTGTAACGGGTTCAAAACCATCCATCAGCTCTTAGGGTGAAAGGTACTGAGCAATCAAGTCATGACAATGAGAGCCTGTCAACTTGTTGAAGAAAAACTCTGATTCAGAGACTGGAGGAAAGACAGTGCTGACCTGGCACCCTGGCACTGTTCACCTCCAAGGCCTACACATGGGCAGTCCCTGAACCACGGCGGTTTAGTGTAAATACCCTGGACATTTTTAATTCCTTTTAAGAGGATCAGCCACAAATCTCTTTGTGATGTTACAAGTTTCGAAAGCGAGGGAGCCCTCTCAAGTGCATCCATCAGAAAATGTTTTTGTTGGGGCTGGAAAAACAAAGGAAAATGCATAACCATCCCCTGGGCTGTGTGTGAGCATGCTGGCCATTGCCAGCCCCAATTGACACACAGGAACCGTGAGTAGAGAGGCCAACAGTGACCTCAGCTCCACTCTTCCTGCTCCCAGCCCCGGTCATGGGGCCTCGGGGCCTTGACTTTGACAAGACCATGCACTCTGAGCCCCCCAAACCCAGGCCCCAAACCACAGTGCTCGCCATCCCCGCCTCCGAGGAGGTCAGAGGTGGAAACTCTATTGGCTCACTGTAGGACTTTCCAATTGGGAAGCCAGGATCTTCTCCTCGCACATTACAATAAAAATAATAATAATTACTGCTCTGCAATTGAATTTTTATACTAACCAGGCTGGGGCGAGACATCTACATTAAACTATGCTGCAGAACCTTTAGCGGAGATTTTTCCATAGCTGCAAAGCTCTGCAAAAACTAGAAAACGTCCAACAGCTGCTGTAGCCACGAAAGTATTACAAGAATGAAGACCTTTCAAATGCAAGAGTGAAGGCTGATTATGCTTATCAAAATGGCCTTGACCAAGGTTTCTTTTGGCTAATGCTACAGAAATGAGTAATGAGCCATTAGTTAGAACTGTGAAGATAAAGACCTTTCATTAATCATGCAGGAGATTAGAGGAAGGGGGGAGAAAGGGTTGGTGTTGAGGTGGATTTAGGAGATTATATTCAAATTGAGAGGCAGTCTGAAAAGCGTGGGATAGATTAGCAACCTAGGTCCTGTTGAAGGGGAAGAATCAGCTGCAAGAACTTTCAAACGGACCTATTTCTATGCTGTTTTGAGTACACCATTTAGTACCATGGAAGCTAAGAAACTTTATCGTTCCTAATACTTGTTGCAATCAAACAACATGGCGGTCCTACCTTAGAGCAGACTATTTAATTAAATGGAAAATCAATGACCTTTTTTAAAAAGAGCACAGACTTGTAGCATTTGCAAAAGTGTCTCTGACTCTCTTGTTCTGTGCACTGTTGATCACCAGGCTGGGTGCCCTGGGCAGAACAGAAAGGCTCTTAGCTAACTCAACCACCCCTCCCCCACCGTGAACTCCTTTCATCTTTCTGGGTTCTCTTTTACCTGGGTCCCGTGAGATTATTTCAGAGGTTACGAGTCAGGGTTCTCTGGAGAAACAGAAGCAATAGGGTTTATATACATATATACAAGAGAGAGATTTTAAGGAATGGACTTGTGTGATTATGGGGCTGGCGAGTCCAAAATCGGTAGGGTAGAGCAGCAGGCTGGAAATTCAGGCAGAGTCTTTATGTTGCAGCTTTGAGGCGGAATTCTTTCACTTTAGAGAAACTTCAATATTTGCTCTTAAGGCCGTCAACTGATTGGATGAGGCCCACCCACATTATGGAGGGTAATCTATATTTAAAGTCAACTAATCACAGGTGTTGACCACTTCTACAAAATGCCTTCACAGCAATGTCTAGACTAGTGTTTGGCTAAACAACTGAGCTCCATAGACCAGCCAGGTTGACACATAAAATTAACCATCGCACTTTGTGTCTGTTTCAAAAACATTCTGGAACTCTTTTGAATTTCCAAAGAAATCAGGTCCCCACAGCCACACTGAGTTTTGTGTAGAACCAGTGGGAGCTGTCAAAAAGTGTGGGTGTGTGGGATAATGTTATTAATACTATTTCCCAGAGTGGAATAAATGTCATTCTCTTGTGTTCAAACTTTATTAAAATTTCCGAATTCTTGAACACTAAAAGGATACAGTAAGGATTGAGGGCTAAAAGGACAATTCTACTTAAAATTCAGCAACAGATTGCTATCGCCATGAAGCCAGATTGTCAAAGTGTGAAAATCTGCCTGTCACTTGCTCGCTCAGACGTCCCATTCACACTGTGCGGCACCAGGAGCAGGCTGGAGGGGCGGGCTGGTGGAAATCCCACAGCACTCTTCCCGCTACAGGCTTTGGCACATTGAAGCCAAAGTGCCACCTGCAGTGTCGCTGTCTGTCTGTGAAAGGGGAGCTGTTTAAGTCTTCCCAGGACTCTGTGTTTTGCAAAGTGCCTACCAATAACCAAGAGATGGGATACCTGGCCCCAGAGCCACAGCTCACGTGGTGCCTCTGCCCGCAGAGCACCCCCCCTCCCCACCTTGTCCCTGCTGCATGCCACTCTCCATCCTTCTCTTGCCTGCACCGCTGAGCTGCCAGCAGAGCTGGGAGCCAACAGAGACCCTGGAGCTCTCTGATGGGGACAGTCATTACTTCTCGACTTCTGGATTATTGATGGCCAATTTCAGGGGGAGAGAGGATTTCCGGGATTCCTTTTCTCTTTTTTGGAGCCCCATGATTATGACTCTGTACCTCTTTGCCTGTTGAATCTGCCTCTTCCTTCCAGGGTAGGCGCAAATTGCAAGTCTTCAGTTCAGCTCTCCTGGGTGGCTCCAGCCAGAACTGACCTCCCCCTCCTCTTGGCTCCTGGAGGGTTTATTCTTTCTGTCATTCATCTAAAAAACACCTGATCCTATTGTTGTTAATTTTTAGATCCAGATTTTATCGCTTCATCAAGGTTGGAAACTCTGAAATCTTAGCTCCAGTGTCACGTTTATTTAAAACTTTCCCTGTACTGCACCCTTGTTTCTTGCGGACACAACTGCACATCCACACACACCCATGCATGCACACACACACACAGACACACACACACACAGAGTCCCCAGACAGGGTAGAGGTTTAATAAATACTTCTGAGTGGTGCTGATGACTCAAACTGCTTCACAAATACAATAATTTGACATTTAATAGTGACAATTTTTGCAGAAAATAAGTTTACCCTCAGGGTGTAATTTTATGTTGCTTTACTACCTTAAAATTGCATTTATTGAGCAATTACTATGTGCCAAAGACTACTCATAGCTCTTTATGCATCTTGTTAGCTGCACTAACATCTGTTGCCAATCTTGCCCCCTTTTTTTCGCTCCCCAAAGCCCCCAGTACATAGTTGTATATCGTAGTTGTAGGTCCTTCTAGTTCTGTGATGTGGGACGCTGCCTCAGCATGGCTTGATGAATAGCGCTGGGTCAGCGCCCACGATCCGTACTGGCAAACCCTGGGCCGCGGAAGCAGAAGGCGCAAACTTAACTGCTTGGCCATGGGACCGGCCCCTACATGCATATTTTTTAAATGGCCAATTGTGACTCAGAGTGATTCAATAATTTTCTCAAAGTCGTGCAGCTAACAAATGGTAGGATTGGGGTTTACGCTTATTCGCATCTACCAAACCATACCAACGTGCAAAGAACAGTGCAGGCGAGGGAAGGAAACCAGGGGAAATTCCCCATCATGGGGTACACTTCCATGTGGGACAGTAGGAAAAGCATAGGGCTGGGATCGAATGGTTTGGCCTAGGTAGCGTTTGGAAGTTATACGAGCTTAGGCAAAATCTTAAAGTCATCTGAGTGTCGAGATTCATATTTCTTAGCCTGTAAACAGGGAGTGAAAATAATCTTCCTACCCTATATCTAGCAACCAAGCTGCAAAAAAACTGACTACAGTTCTAGGGTTTATTTAGAATGGTCTTCTATTGCCTTTATGGAACATTCTTGGTTTTGCAATCTATCCAAGAGGCTAAAATCTATGTAAGGTTTGATAATTGTCTCTGAATACTTTTTGTATCAAACAAACGAACATCCCTACCTTTCAGAGACTGAAACCCCAGGACAGATGAAGGAAAGTCGATCCCTCCACTTTTCAGTTTCCTTCTCAATTCTTATTGCAACCAACTCTACATCATGCAGAGATCACTACAGGCCTGTCGTTTTCATTTTAGATTTTGGTACATGATTTTGGTGTTCATTCATATTTTTATTAGGAAATAATTTTTTTTCATGCAATGCCACTCTGAGGCAGCACACATTTGAACTGGCAAAGTCCATCACACTGACATTGACATAATAAGTAGAAAAAGTCATTCCCGTTTTATCCACTGATTTGTCCATGATAAACTGGCATACTAATGCAGACAGAGAATGAAGAAAGGGGCCCAGAGAGAGGTATTTTGGAGTTTATCAAGATATGAGTGCCAGAGTTACTTTCTCTCTTTTGGTAACAACAAGAAAAGCCACCCCCCCATTTTTTTTCATAGAATTGTTAAAGGTCTACCGCACGTACAAGAGACTTAACATTTATTTCTTCCTTTGAAAATGGACCACTAAAATCATCACGCAGTGGAGTAGAGGGTAGACCATTGCTGAGCCAGGTTGTTGAAGTGTCTGGCAAGCTGGATTCCACCCACCCAACCCTGGTTAATTCCACCCCCAGCCACCACTGTCAGATCGTCCCCAGCCCTCCCCCTCCCAAGCCCTCCCCCAGCTCCCATCCATCTGTCCATCCTGCCCCTGACCTGCCAGGATGTCACCGGCGAGCCTCAGAGGGGCCTCGTGGCAGCTACAGAAACTAAGGTTATTTTCAGAAGGATTGTGTCATCCCAGGAGAATTGTGGCTCTAGATTGCCAGCTTGTCCTGGTTTTCCCAAAACTTTCCCAGTTGTGGCACTGAAAGTCACGTGTGCAGGGGAAATTTCCCTCAGTCCTGGGCAAACTGGGACAGTTGATCACCTTGCACCATAGTCTCTGTCCATTGAAACAGGCCCTACCCATATCCAAGAGATACACATTTTTAACTAGAACGGATTCCAAATTTGACTGTGTCGTTTCCCAGAGGAAATTATGAGCTTAAAGATTTTCAGAAGTTGCTATCTATTTTTAGCCTTAAAAATCGCCTATGGTCTTATTAAACCAAGATGATGTAAGAAAGTAACGTTTTGGATTGTGCCCCCCCCTCCACCCCCACCGCTATGCTTGGCTTGTCCGTAAGAACCTTCATCGGCTCTGATGATGCTTCCTCTTTCCTTCCCTTGTGCGTTCTGAACGACAGGAAATGTTATGTCTCTATTGCCTCTGCTCAAAGACATTTCTTGTATTTGTTTCACGGGTAACATTTTAAAATAAAGTTCACCTTCTCTTTAGAGCGTTCCTGGTGCTACCTGATTCACACTTGTATTGACCAATGGTTCTTTTAGAGTAACTGTGAAAACTCATTCTGGAAACTTCCATCATTTTGTTTCTTTAGCCTTGCAGTGGGATAATTTCCCAGTGCCACAGACCAGCACCTGGTCAGGGCCACTCAAGATGTTTTTCTGTACTTACAGCTCACATCATGAATTATATAATTATATGACATTATTTTGTCCCGTGTTCTTGGCCTGCAAGACTTGCCCTGATGCCCTCAATGCCCAGCCTCTTGCTCTGTCCCTTCGCCATCGTACACTTGCTCTGGAGACCCAGGAATCAGTGTTGCTTCTTGGCTGATATTTGCCTCTGGTCCTTCAGAACAGTCCCCTTCCTGATCTCGTTTGCTTAGCCTCCCTGGAGAAAGAAGACACACGTGGGACATTTCTCTGTGAGTCACCACACGATCCCAGGCAAGTCGCTTAATCTCTCTGGCTCTCAACTTCCCTGTTTTTAAACAGAGGAATAAAATACCCAACTCATAAAATTGCTAGTGCATTAAACGACAAAATGTTTATTATAAAAGCACCCTGTAAACTCTAAATCGTATACCAATATAATTCATGACTATGCTTACTCAATTTAGTTGCCATATAGGATAAAAATAGACAACCATCTGTTTTAGTAAGGGTTTGGTGTTGGCCTGGTGGGAGGCAGGAGCCCAATAACTTCTGGAGGGCTCTGCTCTTATATTTTGAAATAAGAGTAGAAGAGCGAGTCCATGCATTTAGGAAAAGGAAATGGGAAACAGACGCACTACTTTATAAATAGTAACAAAGATGCATTGAGTTAGCTTCCCATGGTGGGTCTTTAAGTTAGAAACAGAAGTGAATTGTGGAACAGCTCAACCATGGTGGTGCAAAGACCCCTAAAAAAATAAGCCCGTGGATAGATGTTTGCTTACTTTAGCATACACGTAGCCCATGGCACAGTAAAGGTGGGAAGGGAGGGTGAGGAGATGCAGTGGGATACAAGGTAGCCCTCCCCTTTCACAGGAAACCTGAGAGACAGGCAGGAGCTCACACACCCTTCGTGACAAGCTCTAAATAGGAATTTGCAGGACATCTAAAAGCAATAAGTATTTGGTGAGATCCATTCAGAATAAGGGTTCTTGCAGGTACCTTGCAAATCAGCCAGGGGTCTCCTGCAGAGTCCAGTCAGGTCTATTCAGATGCAAACGGTTGGAGGAAAAGAACGCAATAGTGCTAATACTGAGGAAGGGCTCACTCTGTTCGCTGCGATCTGAGCCAATTAATCACAAGTTAGAGATCGAGAAAGGAAGCTTAATTAGATTAGCTGGTTAATCGGAAGATGAGTGACTAATGTCTCAAAAACCCATCTTCCAGGATTACGGAATCTTGAGGCAGTTATATAGGGAAAACGGGCAGTAAGGAGGGGGTACAGGGATGTTGGTGTCCAGGCGTGACGGGCTCCAGGCATCACATTGTTCCATTCTTCTGTCAGCTGTGATGGATTCCTTGTAGGTGTGTTTCCCGCCTGTGGTCAGCCTGTTCCTGGAGAAAAACTCATAGAACAAAGTTTTAATTTATCAAGCTATCCGGGAGTACATACATAAGTAGAGGCCATAAATCAGGAGAGCATGTGAATTTTTTAGAGTACGTGCAGAGCAGCAAGTAGTCACACAGAGGAGGGGGTGGGGCCATTTAGCCCAACAAGATGGCCTCACTTATGCTCACTTGAGTACTGCTCTGTTTGGGTTTTCAATTAACTACTAAACACAGGGTCTGGTAGTGACACAACTATCTGGTAAATCACTCAAGTTTTGTTTTAAATACTATCCTACACTGGGGTTAGGTTCTAATTCTTCTGCCTTCATTGTAAAATCCTCCGTTTACCATCCAACTTTAACTAACAACTTAGTAGGACTAGTGTATTTATTAGGAATGCTTTAAGCTCCAAGCAAGCAAGCTCCTTGTTAGCAAGGAAGAAAGATGGAAATAAATATTGGTAAACAGAAGATCTGATCACAACCGAATCACACAACTGTAAGGTTTTAAATTCCAGGGGAGATGCAATCACTTTTACTTGGCTACAAGTAAACTGTCCCAAAAAGCCGATCTCTTAGCCAATGACAATTGTGATGGAATTTAATATTTATGACTTAATAGAATCTGAAACAAGGGTAGTAGACATTAGATTAGTGTTATGAACCAACAGTAATTAGACAGATGGGGAATTTAGTATCCTATGTATAAAATGACTCAGAGCTGTAAACAAGATATTCCAAATTAATCCAAATGAATTACTCATAAACATTTCAACTTCAGTTATGTATTCATAGAAGACAATACAACGATCCATTTTAGTGGGATTTTTCTGAGGAACAAGATAGGTCGTGAATTCATAAGTGTGGAGATTTATAAATATTGGCACAAGACTGTGACTGACCCATGTTCATTTTGCCCACTGCACGATTAAGCCAATCATGGAGAGGCCGAATTTGCAAAGAGAAAGGATTGAATCACAAGGCGGCCAAGTGAGGAGATGGGAGAATCAGTCTCAGATCGGCCTCCCTGAAAATGGGGGACTCAGGGATACTCACTGGGAGGGGCCAGGTGGTCTGAAGTGTGGGAATAGACGCTTGGAGATGAGGAGAAGCGAGGTAATTGATGATCCGTGCAGGCGTAGTCAGGTTTCTTGGCTTTTCATAGGACCCGTGTGGTGACATTAGCACGATCTGAGAGTGGAGTTTCCAGCCTCCCGACATCAAAAATGTCACTTGAGCATTTGCATGGACCCAGTTGATGGGTTGGTGGTCTCAACCAGCCTGAACTGGCCACGGGGTTCTAATTCCTGAAAAACAGCTCAAACATCTGTTACCATGGTGACCCAGGCTCCAGGGAGATGTTATCTATAGGAGCCCAGTGGGAGTCAGATAGTATATTGCCTAAGCAGCACAGTTAACGATGAGTGGTGAACAACTAAAAGCTATAACCAGTAGTTGCAAAAAAACACTTTAGTTACTAGCTGCCTAATCATCAATAGCTAACTGTTAACCAGTTTCAAGACCAAAGGAACATTTGCATAAAAACAAATGCACGTAAAACCGTGCTAATGAGCAGCTGATCCCGTAGGTTACGTACTGTAGGCAAATGCAGCCGGAAGAACCCAAATGCTGGCTCCGGTTGTAAGTTTCAGTCCCTGTATGGAGACCAGGCACCTCGAAAAATTGCATCTGCTTCTGGTTACATTGGCGAGCAGTCAAGAAAGTGAAAACCCTTAGCAAAATGCATCCCTGTTACTGAAAATATCTCTGACCAATTCTTCATTTCCCTTTGTCTTACTTTCCTCGGTTTTCACTTTTCTTGCTATAGTGTCTGCAGCTGTTAAACCACCTCCAATCCTGTCTGATGCAGATGGCATAAACCAACACAACCAACCAACCAAACTCGAAACGTGTATTTATTCCACGTATGTTCAGTGACATTGTGAATATAAGGGAAAGTCTTTTTTGTGGGGTCCGGCCCCGTGGCCAAGGAGTTAAGTTTGCATGCTTTGCTTGGGTGTTCCAAGGTTTCACTGGTTTGGATCCTGGGCACAGACATGGCACCACTCATCAGGCCATGCTGAAGCAGTGTCCCACATAGCACAACCAGAAGGACCTACAACTAGAATATATAACTAGGTACTGGGGGGCTTTGGGGAGAAAGAAAAAAAAAAAAAGAAGATTGGCAACAGATGTTAGCTCAGGTACCAATCTTTAAAAAAAAAAAAAAAGTCTTTTTCCCCCTCATATGGATCACTTAAACAATCATGAAAGTTGGTTCTTTGTGTACATGCAGCATACATGCAGAAAGGAATCAGAAAGAAAAGTACATGTATGTCAGAGTTCCACACCCAGAATGGCAATGTGAGGAGTTATACCAGCCCATTCCTCTGCAAAGCAAGCATCGCTGGTGAAAACGATAACAACAAAGCCATTTAAAGTCTCTGGAAATTGTTCCAAGGGCATAAAGCAAATGGAGAAAATTACGTAAGAAAATCGACCAAGAATCTGTAAGAACAGTGAGAACCTGCTTCTTCTACGTGTCCCCAGCAGCTTGCACAGAGCCCAGCACACACCAGAAAGGTTTGTTGGTGTGAGAATAGCAGCCACGATTTTTGAGTACCTATGATGTGCCAGCCACCTGTCACGTATCTAGGACTCCTCCAGAGCCAGCTTTGTGCCTGGTGAATGAGTCTTCGTTATCGCATCTTCTTATCATTGTTACCATCATACATAACAGGCTGGCTGCTTGGTTTAATCCTGGCACATGCCCTCCTTGAAGTATAACAAGGTGGTTAAAAGATTGCCTGGGATGATTCTGGGCTCAGCCACCTCCTAGCTGTGTGACCTTGGGCAAGGTACTTAATCTCGCTGTGCCTCAGTTTCTTCTTCTGCAAAATGGGGTGAATGATAATACTACCTCTAGAATTATTAGGAGATTTAATGAATTGATACTTGCAAGGCACTTAGAGCAATGCCTGGTAGACAATAACGCTGTCTGTTTCTTAAAGATAAAGCTAGTCAGTGACTTAAATCTCTCTTTCAGTATGTGAAAAAAGATTAATTTGTTTCAAACTTCACAGCCTTTTCTGCCAATAGCCACGTGCTTCTGCCAGAAGGAAAGGAAGAATGGACCTCAGGTTTCCTGATACGCCCATTTAGGCCAAAGCCTTCTACTCGTGACCCTGTGTTCATCCTCTCTTAGCATGTTATACCCTCCCCAACATCGGCTTGGGGGCACCCCCAAAACTTCCTTCCCCCAAGAGCTGTGCTTTTTGCTGACTCAGATTTTTGATGAGTATTTTGCCAAAGCAGAAATATCCCGATGAAAACTGACAAGAAAGACACTTCTGCCAGCATCCTGTTTTCCTCTCTAAGAGAAGGAAACCACAAGCAGGACACACGGTCTCTGGCTCAAGCCCTCCCATGTGGTCCCTGCTTCCATGGAGCTTCCTACACTTAGCGCATCCCAGGGTACGTCTGCCCAGGGCCCTCCAGACCCCCAGCCCCCTATCGGTGGCGCACCATTTACATTTCTTCCGGACAGTGTTACTGTGTCAGTTACCTTGCTGGCACTCAACAAACCTTTTACATCCTTTATGCTCTGGGGCGGGTTTGCTATAGGAACGTGAATGGAAGAGCAGCAAAGCCTGACTAAGACCCAAAGTATGTTCTGCTAAATGCCATGTTCCTCGGGATGCCAGAATTAGCAAGAAAAAAATCAACAAAGGATGCCCAGTGAAATCTTAATTTCAGATAATCAGAAAACAATTTTTTTAGTATAAGTATATCCCATGCAATATTTGAGAGATACTTATACTAAAAAATTATTTTTAGTTTATTTGCAGCTCAGATTTAACTGAGCATCTTGTATTTTATTTGGCAATCCTACACGCTTTGGAAAGGGAAACAATCCGGGGAGAAGCCTTATAAAGCTGGTTAGTATTTGGTGGGAGGACTAGCTCTCTCTACAAATGATTTTTTACTGACAGGACCATGTTCTGTCTCCCAGGGACACGAAGGACCAGAGGAGGAGTGTGTATTTGGCAGCTCAGAAGCAACAGGACAGGGGTGACACAGGGCTTCTGTGCAAGGCAGTTTGGTCTTGTGCAACCCTGAGTTTGGACCTACGTCCCACTTATGTGACAGCATTTAGTTCTTCCATTTATTTACCTCTCCCAAAGAACTGTCTAATATTTCGAAGGTCCTTTACTTCATCACAAACCCACCACTTTGGCAACCCACTGGCCGCTCTGAAAATACAGCATCCGTGCTCTCAGTGGGAAACCCAGAGGCTGGAGATTTCCTTGGCTCTGAGTCACCGGGATTGAACAAAAATAAAGTGATATTCATAAAAACACACTTATATATTCCTGCAGCATCAGAAATCATTTATTCCCCTTTTGGTTTTAGTTTATGCAGGACTGGCCTCAGGGGCATGTGGTCTGTGCCATCACACAGGCCCTGCTCACAAAGACCTCAGGCTCACATTAATGCTCCTCTGTTGCCGGCCTGGCATTCTTAATAACTTTTATACAAGGGCCCCCCAGATTCATTTTGCACTGGATCCTGCAAATTACCTAGCCAGTCCCAGGTTTATGCATTATAACAAAAATACCGAAAATCGTAATTATGGTTTCATAGAGAACTTAGACCTTATCTCCTAAATCATTTAAACGTTTTGATATATGTAACCTCTAAATCCCTAGGAAGTCAGAAGAGAATTTTTTTTAATGGGGAAAATGAGGCTTCAAGGGATATGTCTGTGTCTAGCTAAAATCCACATTTCCTAAACCTCACACTATATTCTCAAATTTATTCACTCCACTCTTGTGCTTCCAAGATCTTGCCCTGTTTTCTTCCTCATCATAGCTGAGGATGTAACTA